AAACATGATGTGTTGTTAAGTTCACTTTTCAATTCTTTATCGCTTGCATTTGACTTTTGGCAGCATAAGAGCGAGAGTGCAAAATTCAAAACAAAAACAAAACAAAAACAAATGTTTAATAATGAATATGCAGCGCTGAAAAGATGAAAAATAGTGAGTATGTGCTCTGTGTAGTGCGTTTGTCTTGTCTTTTCAGCATTTCTTCCAATCTTCTCTCATCGCTTTTTGGTGCGCCACATAAACAATAAATATTGTTTTTATACGATGCAATTTATAAGGTTTCAAAGCAATCGCGTGCAAATGTCAAGATATTAAGTTTCGGTGTGTGTCGGTAAATTGTTGTGTTTTGTTCGCCTGTAAAATGTAATTTGGTGCTCTGTCAAAGCAACTGAAAACACGTCTCTCAGCTCTTCTTTTCGTTCTGTTGACTCAGTGATGGTTTCGGTTATTCCTGCGCACGAAAAGTGAGAGAAAGATCACAGGGCCGTCGTGTGTTTGTGAGATGTATTTGCCACAAAGCGCAAGCACATTATTTATTTACAAACGTGAATCGGGAAAAACAGAAATGCAAAACAGAAAAGGCAACAACAATGCCAAAGAAAAAAAAAAAGGCGAGGAAGAGAAGGGCAGAAAATAAAAGACGGCAACTAGAATGAGATGTGATTGTGTCGGTTGTGAGTTCAATTTTCACAGTATTTTGTGGTTTTCATTTCAAATGACAACATTCAGCTGCTGTATAAACGTGCATTTAAATGTAGCTAAGCATTAATTGCTTGAGATAAGAGACACGAGTACACCGATGCGGTGAGTGAGAGACACACACAGGGAGAGAGCGAGAGTGATATCATTAAACCAGAAAAGCGTGTTCATTTTGTGTGTTTATACTTTGCTCTGCACCTCTGCCACCACACTGTGTTGCTGCATTTTTTAATACGATGAATTTGCCATTTAAATCCCTTGTGAAATGGTTTTTGTGCAATGAAACAAAGACAAAGACAAAGGAGACAGCACACATGGATTTGTCATTATGATGTCAAGAAAGTATTTTGATAATCAGCATGGAATGAAAAATGCCATTCATTCAACTGACTGCGCTTAGGTTTCAGCTCTGCTAGCATTTAGTTTTTATTTTAATTTTTAATTAAGTCCCAGCCTACCACCATTCATTTACAGAGATGTCAAAAATGTTTTCCTTCTCATTGCCACTCTTATACAAAACACGAAGAGAGCGGCTCATCACAGACTGTATTTTACATACAAAAAAAAAAATGTATGGCAAGACATTGATTGATTTTGAATTAACACCTTTTAACCTTGCTAAATTGTTTAAAATTGCATGTTGTACACAACGGTTGTGGGCTCTGTCAAATGTTTGAGCAGCAATGAATAAGTGAACATCTTTCCGAAAGCCAATCACTTGTCATCTTCTTATCTAGGTTAATTGGATGATCTCCATTCAATGAATTTCCGACAGACATGAGAACTTGCAATGCAACATTCTCAACAATCATTTCCACAATCCACATACTCGACACAACAACAAATGACAACACTTCAAACAATTTGAAACTTCATTGCCGCTACATCATTCTCGAAAGGTGAAAATTTGCTTTTTCTTTTCATTGGCCGTTAACACTGACCAAATCATCTAAGTGGCATTTAAGCTGCCGGTAAAGAAGACAATCCATCAAAATGTAAAGAAACATCAACGTGACACAATAGCGCACACAAAATATATATATAACATACACACATTCACGAATACCAACTGAAACGTAGCGATTAATTAATAATACAATATTGCCACCTGTAACTTGGAGCATAAGTGAATGAGTTTTCGTGCAGGGCATCGCTTGCTCATGGGCCAACACGTGTTTATGACAAACTTACAATATTCAACGCCTGTTAGTACATACCTTTTTTGTGCCCACTTCGTCTTCATCATCATCATTTATATTATTTTTTTTTTAGTTCCTTCATTCATCCATTCTGTCGGTTGGTTGTTCGTTTCGTTCATTAATTTACATAAATATTGCCTGCATCAAAACATTAGCTATACCACGGCAACGATGGAATTAAATCAACAGTAAACAAATGAATGAAGTTGAAAAAAGAGTGTGTGTGTGTGGTGTGTGCTGTGCTTATGCATTGAGTACATGTCAAACGAATAACATGGCTCTGACAATTACAAATTTATCCACATAAAATGTTAAATAAATTAACTAAACAAGTAATTTGACTGAATGACTGACGGAATATTATTGATGTTTCTCTGACGCGTCAACTTCATTTGCTAGACTTCAAATTCACTCACATTGTTTGCACTGTTGTTCGCTGCTCAAACATTGAAATGAACTTTTGAATGGGCGAAAGAGCGAAAGAAATGCAAAATAATCGATCAAGCAGTGAATGAAAGCAAAAAAGAGAGTAAGATGAAACGCAAAAAATGATCACGACATTTTCAATTCTTTGCAGCTTTTCGAGTGTTAGTCGAAAGCTGTTCAATAATAATTCATAGTCAGTCATATTTCGTGCTTTCAGTATTTCACATTTTGATGAATGGTATGTAATTTATTTTAAACGAAGTAATGCGATCTACTCACTGACTCACACAAACACACACACACCAATGCACGATGTGTGCGAAAGAAGAAAGAGAGTGAATGGCTAGAAAAGGTAGAATGAATCGTAGCACCGAAAATGAACGAATATGCAAATGATTAATGTGCGCTTATAATTGAAGAAAAGAGGAAATGGTTGTCATTAGGATAGACAGGCGAAATTTTAATATTTTCATTTTACGATCGTTTTTACAACAATATATAGCCGGGGCATATGTACATGGTAAACATTTACGTTCCCCACTACAACAGACCAATTCCTTTGATGTGAGAGTGTCGCAAAAAAGAAGAAACGAAAACCAAATGATGAATTATACGGTATTCAAAAAAATACTACAAAGAAAGAAAGAAATACAATGAGATACACCAAACTGTCGGCTCAAACAATTATTGTCTTTTGACAGTCGAATTAATATCACTTAATCATTCTGTGGACATCAGCTGCCGTTTGTCATCTCTTGATTTATATGCAAATGAACAACTCATACATCTTACATTCAATACACACCGCACGCATCACTCATTTCATTCCATTGACATGAAACCATTTAATGCCATAGACACCATTTTTATTTTCTATTTAATTATGTTTTCTTTCGAATTTTATTTGTTTTGAGAGAAAAAAAATGATGTTTTGATGTTATTCAACGCTCAATTTCAGTTTAAAATCGACATTTTTTTCTATTGCCATTCAGAACGAATGGTACTCTGCACTCTATGCTCTCATCGCCATTTCTCTCGACAAAATAATGAAATTATTGACTTTTCGTCTTTTCGTTAGTGCCCCAAGACTATTGCTTTTCTATTCCACTTCATTGCAACATCAAACTGCAACAAATCATTCGGTTCAATGTATTTTCACTTCTTCTTCTAACTTCTCAAGATTAATCTGAGAACATTTATAACACACGAACCGAAAAGAGTATTGCAACAAATGATAAAATAGATTCAAGAAGTGAGCAAGTCGCAGAGAGAGAGAAAAAGAGAGAAAAAAGTAGCAACAAAAAACCCCGAAGAAGAATGTACTCCGATCCGGAGTAAATAAAAAAGCAAGTGAATGAGCGCGCGTTCTTGTCCGCTTTGAACGGAAAAAAAGAAGTAAAGGGAAAAATTGGACCATTAATTCTAGTCGTAAAAGATATTAGCATCTGTCCGCGCAGTTCTTAAGAGTTAATGGCCAAGAATAGATCATTTTGGTCCCACGGGTGCATTTTTACCATTTTCAGTTGATTTGTTCAGTTCTCTGTTTTTTTTTTGCACGAATTTCTCGTTGATTGGCCGTATCGTGCGAACACACAACGTGAGCATTTGAGAATGAATTGAAGGAGACACACAGAGAATACACATCAAAGTAAAATGAATGGATTCCACTTTGATAAATAAAATACGCATTTGGATTTATATGGATTGGGTGATATTGTGTGCTCAGTGCATCACTGTGAAGACAATTGGACAGTGAAACAAATCTCTTTCTATTTTCATTGTTACGCAAAGAGGAGACAAAATATACACACACGCTACTTCAAAACGATTGCTGCAGTGTGATTTTTTATCGATGAACAAAAGAACTAGGGAAAATCTCATAAAATGTGACATACGGAGCGTGCAAAGAATGATTACAAACGAATCATAGAGATTGAAAGAGAGAGAATTCTGCAAATGGCCAACAAAAAACGATGCACATAAACAACAATTGTGCTTTATCATTTTGGCATATTTATTTTTGCCTTGTATGTAATAATAAAGAAATATTGGGCCGTTAACTGTGTTAACACTATGCTATTGTAAATGTCTTTTTGTGCTCATTTCTAACCACATACTTTACAGCTATGGAGATGGAGATATGGTTTTCTATCCATTTATGTGTTGGCTGCTAAAGATAACCATCGCATTGAATAATCTGCCATAAATATAAATCTTCACTCATTGGTGGTCATGGTCCTTTTTCGCCAAACCATAAAACCATTATTATCAAAAAACTAAATCGTTTATAATTCCGATGTTTTTTTTTGTTTGCATTTTGAGAAAATGAATGTTGATTTTGGCTTTATGGTATGAGATAAATTTTTCGGTGAGCAAAGCTAAATGATCAATAGATCTTTAAATGGATGTGCATCCACTTTTGAGGTAAAATTCTTAGCAGTAAATAAATTGGGCGGGAAATGAGCTGATATTTCCAATTCTAATAACGTTTGAATGAAATGAAACTTTTTCGGTTGTACATTTTATTTGTCATGCTTTTATTTTTTACATCTGTTTTTTTCTTACAGTTTTGATTCAATAACGTATCAAAATGTAATACAATATTTCAAAGCAAATAGAAACGATAATTCATAGTCAATCCATGTGTGAATTGCTTTAGCGTCTTGATTTTTTTTAAAAACTAATGAGATGGCAAGTATGATGATTGAGGTGCTGGTGGAAGGTATGATGATTGAGGTGCTAAATAAAAAAAATTCAGTATTATTTATATAATATATCAATTGAAAATTAAATAATCAATTAGCATACCTGGTGCGGAGTAGCTAGATGAAGGTGCCAAGTAAGATTGTTGAGGTGCTAAATTAAGAAAAATAATAATTATTCAAAGTTTTATCGGAAATCAAACGAAACGAGTATTTTCGTTTCCAAATCAATAAGATCGACAAAAAAACTATAAAAATTACCTGGTGCATATACGGGCGCTGAGTGGCTTGAAGGAACTCCATAGCTTGCTTGTGGTGCTTGTGGTGCTTGTGGTGCGTACGTCAATTGAGGTACTAAATAAAAAAAGTTCAAAATAGAATCACAAAAAATTCTACAAAAAATTGAATAGTCAACGCATACCTGGTGCAGGTCCAGCAAGTGCGGGTGCTGATCCATAGCTAGGTGCTGAAAAAGGAAGAACTCAATTTTAAACATTTTTCTTATATAAAACCAATTTGGCTGGGGTTTTGACGACTTCAGTTCAATGTTTTTTCTTATCAATGTTTTTATAGTACACTGAAAGAACTGTCACTTCTGTCAGTGTAATGTAAACATATTCATATCACTATTTTTTAATGTAACTAAAGGGGGGCCAAGTGACTATTAAATACCTGGAACTTTCACGATGTTTGCTGGTGCTGCTGCTGTCGGAAGGTTGCCGTGTCCATAGCTGTGTGGAATTTCTTGTACGAGCTAATAATTGAATTAGTAACATATCTTTTTTTGTTTATTTCAAAGCAATCATATTTACCTTGATAATTTGTTCTGGAGCGCCTGCTTCTCCGACCTAGAATGAGTCAAGTGAAGGTAATGTTTTAATTTCTCCGTGCTATGTAATGTTCAACGAAAGTTGAGTATATATTTACCTTGATGATTTGAGTTGGTGCCGGTGCTGGATGTGGTCCTTCGGCATGTGATGGAGTGAAAGGTGAGCCTCCTACGGCAACATTAACAACATCTGGGCTTGCCTGATGAGCCGAACCGAATACACTGGCTGGACCACTGCTGACTGGACCGCTGCTGAATCCGCCGCTGACTGCACCACTGCTGTATCCACCGCTGACTGCGCCACTGCTTTGATATGGTTGTTCAAAAATCTTCACGATTTTAACTGCTGAAGGTGCTGGAAAGCTTGGTGCTCCCAAACTTGGAGCTACAAACTAAAAATCAAAATAAATCGGATTAATTCCCTCTGTCATCTGTCTATTTGAAATTATTTCTATTCTTGACCTAGTTCAGAACATTGATTGATTGTTATAATCCATAACTTACGATTATTGATATTTAAATAAAATAATAAAAAGTCGTTTTAATCTTTTTAGTTAATCAAAATGCAAATGAAAATGTCATCAGAAGATTATGCAAGCAAAATGTAACGATAAAAAATGACGAGCATTAATTTGATTTGTGAATCAAAAAGAAAGAAAGAGAGAGTTGAAAAGTGACTGTTATTTAATCATCTTTTGCTAATAATTAAAGTACATACTGCTGGAGCTGCTGGAACTCCGTAGGTTGTTGCTGGTGGAGCTGGTTGATGATGAGTAACTGGGGCACTTGGTGGTAGATATTGTGATTGAGGAGCTAATTCATTGCGTTTCAAAAAATGAAAAGATTCAATGTTATTGACGTATGATTGTAAATTTTTGGATTTTATTAAATTAAATGTATGAAATACCTGGCGCTGGCTGGTAGTGAGGAGCAGGCGCTGGCTGGTAGTGGGAAGCAGGAGCTGGCTGGTAGTGAGGAGCAGGCGCTGGCTGGTAGTGGGGAGCAGGAGCTATTTAAATGCCAAATACGTGTTTTTTAGTTGAATAGTAAAGTAATCAATCGATCAATTGTTACATTATCATGGCGAATACAATAAGCCAGCATTACGTAAGCAAATCGTAAGTTTATTTACCTGGTGCGCTGTACTGTGGTTGAGATGCTGTTTATAAATTGATAAAACGGCGTGTCATTATTATTTTGAATCATCTTTTAATGTTTTACATTCATATGTTAAATACAACAAAGTACCTGAGTATGATGGAGCAGCTGGTTGTTGATGAACGATCTTAATAATTTTGACTTCAGCCGGTTGAACGTGGCTTGGTGCTGGGCCGTATGATAGAGCTAAAATTATTTAATTCATTGTAAATCACTTTGTAAACTTCGTTTAATTTTATATGTGTCTCTTCAACTCTTGATAAAGTTTAAAATATTTATCTGATACGAAAGTTCACATAAAACATGATTTTTCAGGAAATCATCACATACATTCACTTCATATGTTTTGCATCACAATTTCAAAACTGTTTTTTAATTGATTTCACTTTCACACTCAGAGTTTTCAAAATGTAATAACTAGTTTGATTGAGGCGTTAAATTGAAGACATCATTAACTTTCAGCTGTGATTACATTTTCACTTTCATTTGATCGAGAAGTTTGATGTATAATTGTTAAAATTAGGTACCTGGTACATGGACTGGAGCAGAATGTGCCGATGCATGGTAATTGTATCCTGTTGATCCAAGCAAACCAGCCGAAGCATAGCTTACCAAAGCTAAAACACAGATAAAGACCTAATAACACACAAAAAACAATATTATTATTATTTCATGAAAATTCCACTTTGTTGCCATTGTTCACATCTTTGCAAGTCAAATAATTCAATTCACTGTTATCAGACACAAAATGTTTTGAACACGCACCTTCATTTTTGATGTAGTTCCTCGCACACACAAAAATCAACTGATGATTTGGCCAACATTTTGGCGATCTTTTATACCAATCCGAAAAAACGGAATCAATAAAAGTCGTGTTTTATATAAGCCGTATAACAAATCAAATATATTTTAGCAGATACCTATCTCCACGTTCAATATTTTATCACCAACTGAAAGAGAGAATTGAATTTAAATTTTTTTTCTCGCAATTTGTTGGATAACATCCGTAAAATAAGGCGCGAAAAAAGTGAGCATTGGCCACAACCTCATCTTTCAATCAAATTCATGCCATCGAAACAAGTTTCATATATATATTATTATGATTATCAATTTATTCATGTCATTCTGTTTGTTTTATGCCTAAACTATTTCCAATAACCGAACTTATATGGGGAGAGAGAGGAAGATGGAAGAAATAAATGACCGGATAACGCACATCATGATTATTTATATCAAAGTTGTACACGTGTTTCTGAGTTCATTCGCCGGTTTGTCGTCATTTTATAACATTTTTTGTTCAAAATCGATCTCGTTTTTGTATAATTTTTTTGAAGCGAAAAAACTAAGTTGATTTTTCAAAACAAATCATTTTTGTCTGCCAAAAAGCGCGGTGATATAACATTTTCTTTAATTTAACAATTTGCATAGCGAAATTTCATTCATAATAATGTAATCAAAAACGATGCATTTGCATTTTGCATGAAATATAAAAAAACGAGATCTTTTTTTCCTTATCGATTGTCGTTTATAAGATGTAAATAGCCTACACACTTTCATTATATCATTAAATGTATTCCAAAAAAATGGTCAAAACTTTCTTCGGTGGAACAAATCGCGATATGCAAATTCACCAAAGATTTTTGTTTTAAAATTGGCTTTTATGCTTGATTTCTCGATTAAAATATCATTTTATTTACTCTTTTTCGAAGACATGTTTTTATGTGCAAAAATTATACTGATTTTTTTTTAACTTTTACTTTTTGGATGGATCGTGCAAAAAAAGAAATGTGACTTTGAACATTTTGACCCGTTTTGACCTATCAATTGACTTGTATGATATTAATATGAAGTGGAAAATGAAAAAAAAAAATGAAAATGAAAATGTTCTATTTTTATTCTCGAAAAGATAATTGAATTTTAAGAAAAAAATGGCAAGAGATTTATGTAAGAATGAGCTGGAATGTTCTAAACCATCTAATAATAAATCTAAATCTGTTGATGACGAACCAAAAACCAGTCTATCGACGATGATTTATAAATAAAACTCGATATCACCATAGAAATTGATAATCCCATTGTCATTGTATTTGTTCAAGTGTTCTCTGTTTGTTTCGGCTCCAACATCGATTGCGCTCAAGTAGCCATAAAATATATCTATCATCGTTTATCTTCAGGTTAAATAGTCATTGCCAATGAATTGTTGGTATGGTTGCTTATTAAAATATGGCAATCGCTTAAAATCTGATAGATTTTAAAAGTGGTCATTTCTCTCTCGTCGTGCTTTGGCAATGGCGCGTGAGCTCAACCGAAAAATCGTGCAAAATAAACATGATATTTCTAAAACAGCCAAGTGCCGAATAAAAGTACTGTACAATTAATTTATTTATATTCGCGCTGAATACATATACAATTGAATGTAGCGGTGGCAGCGAGTGTATTTTGTATATAAAATGTAATATATCAAGTGTCTGTTGTTGTGATGCTGACTGACTACATGAGCGAAAACGATGGATGTTGGCATCACGTTCGCTCATTCGCATCAAAATGAAAAATAAATTTGTTTGGCCATTTATTCTGAAAACGTTTGGTGATGGCGTGTGCGTGTGTCATTTTAACGAGATCGCGAAATGAACAATCCCCATTGCAGTGTATGTGTTACAAACAAAGCGACATTTGCCTTCATTTCATTTAAAGGGACAGCAAGAGAGAGAGAGAGAGAAATGACACGAAAAGAGCAAAATTGATGGTTGCCTACGAATATTTCAACTGAAGCAAATTAATTAAGTCATATTCTTGTGCAATTATTCCTTTTGTCCCGCTTATTATTATTATGATTTTCATTGTTGCTGTTGTTTTGTTGGTTTTCTTTCTGTCACTGTTGCTTTCTTCCTTCACATCGCCCAAGATTCTAAATATAGATTAATCACATAAAGAACAAACAGTTTTGCCATGGATTTTGAAAGAAAATGCGCAAACAAATGGCACACGGAACACCGCACATTATAAAATATATTTGCCATTGTAAAATTATTGCAAAAGCCGGCGCAGCTCTCTCTTTATCTCTCCTAAATTAATGTTCGTGTTATTGAGAAATTTATTTCGTTAATTAACAACTGGTGAATTGCGTCAACAATGTCAGTTCGTTTATGCTGTATTTCTTCTTTGTCGTCGTCTCTCTCTCTCTTCTGCCACTATATCTTTTTGTGTATTGTGACCGCAAATAATAATTTCGTTCGAAACCAAGAACCCATTGAAATCTTTGTCTCGCATGACAAAATAAGAATTGTATCATTCTATCCAATGCCGGAAGGACATATTTCAAATGCCACATTTGAGTTGGAAATGTCAGTTTGGCTTTGCACTCTTTCTCCATCTCGTGAATTGTTTATTATTATTTTTTCAACCATTGAACTCTGGAATGTGTGTAGCGCGTTTTTCTCTAATGAATCAATTCGGCAACATGATGTAATTCAATGGCCATAAGTCACTAATTCAATCCGTGCGCTGAAACATTTTCCCTGTATGAATGAAACCGACAACAAAGAGCAACGACGATGACGACAGTGACAACAATGTGCATCAGCTGAATGTGTCACCGAAAAATGCGATGTATGCAAAAATGGCAAATGTCGCAGCGACCATAAAATATCAACCAAAATACCAACTGCCACACATTTTCATGTGTCAGCTAATTTAAATTTATTCGGACAGGTTTTCACTTGGTGAGAGACAAATGGGGGGAGCAGAAGAATGAGTGAAAATGCGAATGTATATCTATGTGTATGCTGACAGATGTCACTCATCAATAAGCGTGCACAATCATATTTTCCTGTGTTTTGTAACATAAACTCAACCCAAAAATCCATTTCGATGAACATGATGATGATCATTTGACGACTTTTTTGGATGTTTTCCTATGACCAAAAACCTGTCAAACATTTTAATGAATATTATTTATGACTGGTGCGGTGGTTTTTTCCACTCTCTCTTTCCCATTTCAGCTAGGATACTTCATTAATTTGAAATCACATCACGAGATTTGTGTCATTGAATGAAAATGCAGTTGAATGAAGAGAAGAGAGCAGAGAGAGCGAGAGAGAGATAGAGATGACAATGATGAGATGCACACATGTGGTTACTTCGGAAGGAAACTGAAAAAAAAATCATATTTAGATACATACTAGTACATGTGCCACAATTGGCAACGAGTAAACGGCAAGGATGAAAGAGGGAACATAAAATCACACAAACATTAACTAGATTACGAATATTTCGGTTGGATTGTGTTTGTTATAAATGAAATATGTAACAGAATGCTTACGGCTGTATGTAAACTCAACTGTTGGCATTAAATGCACTCGCTCTGCTGTTGCTCTGTGCACATGTACCCAGAAACAATCCAAGCGTAATTATGTGAATCGACATCATCATCGATTCAAGCACTCACACATACACACACACATGCAGACGCGCAACAAAATCCAAGAGAAACCCGTGCATAACATGCAGGGAGTGAAAATGCACCGCATACATAACTGACATGAATTAATAAGGGTAATGATGAAATAAATCAGAATGTTAAACATTGTATTCAAAAATGAGTAACAATTGGGCGGGTGACAGTTTTTATTATCTTTCTGTTTCTCCTGCTTTTTTAATTCGGTTTTTTTTTTATTTCATTCACATTGCACATCGATTTAATTTACGGTTACGAAATTGTTGTAATTCTGCGAAATTCGGCTGTTGTTGTGCGCTTCGAATGTAATCAATTGAAAATGCTGGTACCGTTGAAAATTAGGGTGTTTTTCATATTTCATGTCAATACCTAGCACAATATTTATGATGTTAATGGGGCCGGCATATGATTTATGCACTCTCTTGCAGTCTGCACTTCGTACGTCAAACGAATCAAAATGTGATTCGTACACAAATATTACATTCGCCACAATTTATCGCAGACGATGAGAGAATGAAGTAGAGAAAGAAGAGCACACAAAAAAGATACACACAAAATTGAACAGAATGATGATAACAAATTAAACATTTCCACAGTTGCTGGCTGCGTGCAATAATTCTCAACCCGAAATATTTTATTAATTGGAAAAGTCTGCCAACAATGTTATGCATATTTTATATCCATATGAAATGAAATTTTCAGCAAATCAAAGGTTTTCAATTGAAAACCAATCTAAACCACAAATAGATTTAGTAATAAATTTTCAACATATTTCTCCATTAATAAACCGATAAATTGCCTTTCGGTAGAACTTATAGTTTGAATTGTGGCGGGTGTATCCATGTGGATTTGTGTGTATCGCTGTTGCTGTAAAGTGCATTGCTTTCATCTGTTAAATCTCAATAAATAATTCAGTTGAAAGAAAATGCCGAATTCAAATTGCATTTCTTTGATTGTTTTTGGAATATATAGTTAGTTTTACTCTCTTCCTCTTTCTCAATGCCATACCGCAGGCATTTTCATTTTCCATTCAAACGAATTGTATATATGTGTATATATTAAATCGGTTTGTTCATATGTGGCAACAGCACACACACACAGACAAACAATGAGATAACGAAATACAGTAAATAACCATGTTATTTTAGGATTTGCGGCATTACTATCTACGATAAATAGACACATTTCATACAGTCAATAAATTCTCGGAATGAGCAACCAGATTTATGGTTCCATTCTTGCTCCTTCTCTTTCGCTCTCACGCCGACTCACCTCATCTCGTTTCAGTTTGTTCTCCACTTTGTTGTAATTGAGCCATGCTGATAATTCATTCCGCTTTGGTCGGATAGAAAGCTTTATTAAAATATTAT